TTTTATATATTTTTCATATTATAATATATGTAAATATATAAAATATATGAAAAATTGATGTGGGTACTCAAATGAAAGCTCTTGATGAGTGTAACATCGAAATGAGCTTATATCTTCAAAAATGTCAATAGTTAAGAAAGTACAGTGCAATTTAACAAAAGTCATTCCTATTAAGAAATATTATGGCTTCATTTATTAGAGTAATTATACTTCAATTAATATATTAATAATATTTTCTTCGAAAGGATTATTTTTTAAAAAATCAAAATATGTCCCAACATTCCACCAAAATAAATTTTTCAGTGAACAATGTCACAATTAATGTGTATTACTTATCTAGTCACTAAGATCGATGTTCACAATGTATATATCAACATAAAATTTAATTATTAAAATTAAGTATTATTATTTTAATGTTTTAATAATTGTAATAAAAATGTATTAATATATATAAAAAAATGAATCTATTTATACAAATAATATATGTTGCATAATAAAATTTGTATCTCCTAATTTTTTTATTGAATAAATATGCGAGATTCCATGGTATGAAATTTGTATTTTTTGTTAAAAAAAATAATATCGCTCGTAAAGTATTGAATTAATGTGCAATTTATTCTAAGAACAGGCAGTGGTTTGTTTATTCAAACAATGAGAAGGGTTGAGTAATGAGCTGTAAAATTCATATGAATATTTAATGTAAACAAATTTCCTCAAAAATGTTGGATCTTCTTAATAAATGAAAAATTTTTAATTCTTTATACTTAAACATTTATTAAAAATCATGTATCAAATATGCGCAACAATAAATTAAAATAACAATCCTTATTATTAATTTATTAAAGCGAATTGTTGAAAAATTGTTCAGCTGTCGCTAAGTTAACAAGAAAATTTTCAACAGCAATTGGAAAACTGCGGTTGCGAATGGTTTGCACGGTCAATATTTTTTTGCCACTGTCATCGACAGTGGCGATGTTCTTTAATTGGTTCAACAAATCCTGAGTTTTGTCCGCTATTTCATTTGTTATCTGCAATTCACTGGAGGTTTTTTCGCAAAGCTGAATCATAAACAACGCTATTTCTTTATGAGTTTTTGTCATAATAAAGCTTTCTTTAGCATGTGGCGCTATCGTTATTTCACGGGCTGGTATATTTACCAGTAAATCATAAAGTTCTGGTTTTAGCGCTACTGCACTATCGCGACAGCCGGCAATGTAGTATGCGTTGCTCTGAAAAAGCGTCATTTTTATTATGAAAATTAAGTGAGCGCACATCTAAAAATTATAACAATTTTTTTTTTTTTTTTTTTTTTTTTTGTAAAAAACTTCAAAAAATATGTGCAATTTTTAAAAATTGTTTAACTCTAATTTAATAAATGAGAAAAAAATCAAAAATGAAAATTAATTTAGCAGATATTTAATAATTCTTTTAATAAATAAATTTTGGCTAAAAAAATTGACATGTAAAAGTATTAAAAAATTAAAAATGAAATTTTATAAAAATATTTTTTTAAAACAAATTTGTTTTTTGAAAAAGATAAAAAATAGTCAATTATTAAATTATTCAACTTATTTTAAATTAAAATAAAGAATTTTGACGAATATTGGGAAGACTGAAAGTAAAAAAAAATTTTAATATTATTTTGACTCATAAGTTGCACTCGAACCTCCTTAATATTTAGCTGAAGTAAAATAAATTTAATCCCCACACGGAAAGAACAAGATGACACTGGATACCATCTCAGATTATACTCAGTGACATCTGAGGTGAAAAAAAAAAAAATTTCAGATGGTAACTAGTATAATCCAGATTATACTGAATAATATCTGGATTATACTCATTGTTATCTGGATTATACTAGCTACTATCTGAAAATTTTTTTTCACTCAATATAATCTGGGATTATATCCAGTATAATCTTGTTCTTTCCGTGCACAGCAATACAGAATTGTATTTTTACTAACTAAAATTAAATACCTTTAAATCCTGAATTTCATCTGCATTTAGATCGATCCACGGTATCAAATTGTCCGTAACATCCCGATGCTTCATAAGCGCGGGAAATGTCCTGATCCACTTGAACAATTGTTCCAAGCTGTGATGGTAAACAACAATGCGCTTTTTTAACAACAACGCGTTGTAAATTAATATTGTTTCTAGTTCGAATGTTTTTATCAAATCACGGATATTTGTATCTGAATTAAGATGCGAAAGATTGTAATCATCGGAATTGTAAATACCGTTTTCTTCGGTTGTGCATGATCCATTGGTGAATACAGACAAATATAGTTTAAGTATTTCTACGGGATTCCCAGTTTTACAGTACATTTTACTTAATACGCGGCAAAGTACTTCGTATTTTTGCGGGTTATAGTCTTTTGTGAAAAGTATTAATGCAAATTGTTTCACCTGTTGATAATAATAGATTATAAAAATTAATTTTTATGTTTTATTTTAATGTTCTTTTAATATGCTAATAAAAATATTGAGGAAAAATAAATTTTATATTTTATTTAAAAATATTTATATTGTTAATTTTTAAATAATTTTTTAATTAATATATCACTTATATATAAAAGTAGTTAATAAATTATTTTTTAATTAATTCATTAATAATTTAAAATTCAATAATTTTAATTAAAGAGTAAGCTTACTCAATGAATATTTTTAAACAGAGAGCAATTAATACTTGTGGTACTTACTCGTGGTAATTTATCAGTATCGAAAACTTCGCTGGAATTTATATAAAACCATTCATTATTGTAATGCGAAAATACAAATGACTGAGTACTGCAGTGCTCTGACTGTAAATTGTACTTGCGAGTTATAATTGTTTTCTGATCATCTGTTACCGAAGGATACGTCCATGTCCATAAAGTGTCTCCGTTTAGATCTTTTTCTGATAAATCATTAATTTTATAATTATTAATTATGATTAATGATAAATTCAAAAAATATCTGATTTTTTTAATTTTTTTAAATTATGACTTCAAAATTTTACAAGAAAAAATTCTACAAATAAGAATTTACAATTTTTTATAAATATTTTTTTATTAGTTAAATAAAATTTTAAAAATTTCCGCTGATTTTTATTTTATTTATTATTATGATACTTAATTTAAAAATTTTATAGAATTTCTTCACAATTAAATAATAATTTTTTAAAAATTAACGCGTAATTTTTTTATTAAGTTCTAGATTTAGAATTTTTTTTATTAAAATTTTTTTGTAATAATTTCAAGATTAATTATTAATTATTATAATACAAAATAAAATTATGAACTATAATTTAAAATAACAAATTATTTGTATTATTCTTACCAATAATACTGCAAGATATAAGCTGAGTCGGTGGTGCCATTAAGAAAAAAAAAAAAAAAATTAAATTTTTAAATTTTTCAAAATAGCCAATCAGCTAAATTTTATCTGAGTTCCTCTGAAAAATAATAAAAATCAGATTTTCATAACAACAATTTTAAATTAATTAATTTTGGTACCTGAAAAATTTTATATTTAAATACTCAGTGATATTTTTTTATTGAAAATTAACTAGAGATTAATTTTAAAATATTTTTCTGACATATCTGTTATTTACGTCTCGAGGTCGGTAAAATTTATCCGTAGACTGTGCAAAAAGTTGTTAAGGTTTTATACAAGACACAAGTAGCATCGCTCGTCAGGGCGATCAATAGTGTCATCTAGAAGAAATAACTTTAACTGAAAATGTTTCACGAATTTCTCACCAGCTAGCGCAAATTACAAAAAACAACAACAAAATAAATTTTTATAGTAATTAAATATGAAAATTAAGTTAGCCGACATTTAAAAATTTTTAGAATTCTTTTTTATTGAAGAAATGATTACAAAAAAAATTGTCACTAGTAAAAAACTTTAAAATCTGTAAGTGTAATTTAAAAAAAATATATTTTTTTATTCTAATTTAATTATTAAAAAAAAAATTAAAATCGTCGGCTAACTTTAGTATTATCAATTAAATAATATAATAACAAAGTTACACGGAAAGAACAAGATTATACTGAATATAATCCCAGATTATACTGAGTGAAAAAAAATTCAGATAGTAACTAGTATAATCCAGATAACAATGAGTATAATACAGATTACAATGAGTATAATCTAGATATTGTTCAGTATAATCTGAATTATACTAGCTACCATCTGAAATTTTTTTCACCTCAGATGTCACTGAGTATAATCTGAGATGGTATCCAGTGTCATCTTGTTCTTTCCGTGCAGATTCTTAATATTTTATTTTTTAAGTAAACGAATGATACCATATGGGTTTTTCTTGCATATAAGCTAATTTTCCACCAACAAACCTTTAATTTGCCTACACATATCACAAACTTTCCTCTCCTCATTCATAAATAAAGGGGCTGCGCACTCCTTTATTTTTCATGAGTAAGTTTTTTAAATTAAATTAGAACAATAAAATATTTTAAAAAAATCGCACTCACAGTTTTTAAAGTTTTTGACAAGTGACAATTTTTTTTTTAATCATTTTTTCAATAAAAAAAATTCTAAAAGTTTTTAGATGTCGGCTAACTTTAGTATTATCAATTAAATAATATAATAATAAAGTTAGCCGACATTATTAATTTTTTTTAAATTAAATTAGAACAATAAAATATTTTAAAAAAATCGCACTCACAGTTTTTAAAGTTTTTGACAAGTGACAATTTTTTTTTTAATCATTTTTTCAATAAAAAAAATTCTAAAAGTTTTTAGATGTCGGCTAACTTTAGTATTATCAATTAAATAATATAATAATAAAGTTAGCCGACATTATTAATTTTTTTTAAATTAAATTAGAACAATAAAATATTTTAAAAAAATCGCACTCACAGTTTTTAAAGTTTTTGACAAGTGACAATTTTTTTTTTAATCATTTTTTCAATAAAAAAAATTCTAAAAGTTTTTAGATGTCGGCTAACTTTAGTATTATCAATTAAATAATATAATAATAAAGTTAGCCGACATTATTAATTTTTTTTAAATTAAATTAGAACAATAAAATATTTTAAAAAAATCGCACTCACAGTTTTTAAAGTTTTTGACAAGTGACAATTTTTTTTTTAATCATTTTTTCAATAAAAAAAATTCTATAAATTTTTAGATGTCGGCTAACTTTAGTATTATCAATTAAATAATATAATAACAAAGTTAGCTGACATTTTTAATTTTTTGATTGACTTTTTTAAATTAAATTAGAACAATAAAATATTTTTAAAAAATTGTACTTACAGTTTTTAAAGTTTTTGACAAGTGACAATTTTTTTTTTAATCATTTTTTCAATAAAAAAAATTCTAAAAGTTTTTAGATGTCGGCTAACTTAATTTTCATTAAATAATTATAAAAAAAAATTCCACATGTGGTAATTAATAAAAATTACCTGTGAAAATTTTTAGAAGAATTTTTTTATTGTTAAAAAATTTTTTACAAGTGACAGCTGACGGTTAACTTCAGTATCAACCTAGCGCCATCTTACAGTGAGAAACTGAACCCGAGCGTCAATGTCATTCCTGACTTGTCTTTTCCCGAGAAACTATACACAATTCTGTCTCACTTCCTCCACTGTAACTTTAGCTACCTAAATGCGAGACAGATAATAATTTATTTAGAAAATTTTTCAAATAAAATTTCTCAATCTAAAAAAATAAGTGTTGAAAAAAAAAATTAAAAATAAATAAAAAACAATAATTACAATAAAAAAAATTACAGTATACTTAGCTTAAAATAAAGGGTAGTCTATCTGAACTCGGTGGTGCCTTCTATCAATGGCTGCCACTTATCCGGTAACACGCGGTTAGCTGTCTCTTAAATTTTTCCATAGTGGTAGGAAAAGTTTGACGCACCAATAAATATATATTAAATAATTAAAAATAACAATTGTTATTATTGTTCTTCCAGTTGCTGATTAATGGTGATTAAAGTGAATTAACAACAATGGCTAGATACGGACAACGTCCTGAAAATGCACTTAAACGTGCCAATGGTGAGTTTTTTTTATCAATATGCGGCTTTTTTAACACACTTGTCTATGTGTTACAACATGGCAGTAATTTTTTTTTACTCCAAATTTTTGGAGCCTATATTTTCTATTTTCCATTCAAATATTTTTTTTTCTTTATTTAAATAATTATATTTCTCGGTGATTATTTTTTTTTTAACTAGACAATAATTTTTTGGCAGTAATTGTTGAATAAATTATATAATCTTTTTCTAATAATTTATTATTATTATTTTTTTACACTATTCTAAAAAAGTCTTTTTTTTTACTTCAATTTTTCTATCAATTTTATTTTTTTTTTTAATTACTATCAAACTTTTGTAAAATTTTTAAATGTCAAAAATTTTAAGGAGATAATTCTTGTAAATTAATTAGTTTTTATAATTAATTAAATAAATATTTTATTAGAATGTTTTTAATTTTTATTAAATAATTTTTTTTTTTCATTAATTAAAAATTGAAAAAAAAATTTTTAGGTTATCTTTTTGTCAATTAATAATACTGAAAAAAATTAATAAATATGTGATAAAAAAAAAATTTCAATATAAATTTATTAATAATTAATTTAAAATTTTATTAAAAAATTTTTTTAATTGTTAAAAAGAAATATTTTTTAAAATTTGTAAATATTTTTATTTTGTCATTGATTTTAAAAAATCAATAAATTATCCGGTTGTATCATAAACTCGTGCGTAAAAAAATTGTTATTTATAATTAAATTATTTAAAAAATTTCTATACAATTTAAAAAAAATATTACAAATTCTTAAATATTTTTCAATAATTTTTTTTTTGGTTTTTTAATTTTAATGTCACAAAAAAAATTAATAATTCTTATCAACTTAACATTAAAAATTTTAATCAAACTTCGTGTCAATATCTAAATTATTTCTTTTAATAATATCCAAAAAAACAATTATTTTTCTTAATTATTATTCAATAATTTTTTTCTAAATAATTAACAATTAAAAAAATTAAATTTTATCAAAGTTTAAAAAATTTTTTATTAATTAATTTCATATAATATTAAATATCAGTATAAAAATTAATTCAAATTAACTTGCTATTAAAAATAAATAACTTTTTTTAAAAAAACAATCCATTAAAATAAATAATTATTTCAATCAATTTAAAGTATTAATTCCTAATAAATTTCTCAGGTTAATTAATTAACAATTTATTTTTCAAAGCTCAATTATAAAAATCAATTTATTCAAATTTGAGTTTGCTTTTTTGAGTCTTAAAAAGCCTCAAAAAAATTTTTATTTCACAGTTCAAATTTTACAATTGATATAATTAATTTTAAATCCCGACAGAATAAAATTATCACCGAAACATTTACAATTAAAAAAATTTTTTATTCACAAATTTGTATTTAATTTTATCATCATTAACTCTCAATATAAAACTAACTATTATATTTTTGACAATAATTTCCAAGTTTAATTAAAAGTACTAATTATTGACGCTATTTTTTATCACAGTATATTACTTAGAAAATTACTACCCCAGATTAAAAAAAAAAAAAGGATAATATCAAAGAATATCAAAATTACTAAAAACAGATATTTCAAATTGGTCAACAATTGGTACTTAGTAAATAAAACTAAATCAATCCACTCAATCCTGAATTTCTTCCAGAATTCATTGAAGTGGGCAAACCAGCTCGTGCTTTAGATACCCTCCAAGAAGTATTCCGCAATAAAAAATGGACCTACAGTTGGTCGGAATCGGTCTTGGAACCGATAATGTTCAAGTACCTCGACCTTTGTGTCGAGTTAAAAAAGTCTCATATCGCGAAAGAAGGTCTCTTCCAGTACCGTAACATGTTCCAATCGGTGAACGTAGGTAGCTTAGAAAACGTGATCCGGGGTTACTTACGAATGGCGGAAGAAAAGACCGAAGCCGCTCGTAAACAGAGTCAGCAAGCCGTAATAGACATAGACGACTTAGACAACTTAGCTACCCCCGAGAGTATATTGCTCTCCGCAGTAAGCGGCGAAGACGCTCAAGACCGTAGTGACCGTACAATTTTAACCCCTTGGGTAAAATTCCTCTGGGAGTCTTACTGTCAATGTCTCGAGCTATTGCGAACAAATGCCCACGTGGAGACACTTTACCACGACATTGCCCGAATGGCATTCCAGTTTTGCCTGGAGTACAATCGCAAAACCGAATTCCGAAAGCTTTGCGAAAAGTTGCGCAAGCATCTCGAAGAAATCTGCAAGCTTCCCCAATTAGTCTCCAACGTTTCAATGAACAAAGCTGAGACTCAGCAGTTGAATTTAGAAACACGTTTAATCCAGCTTGACTCTGCCATTCAAATGGAACTTTGGCAAGAAGCTTACAAAGCTACCGAGGACATTCACGGTCTGATGAACCTGTCCAAAAAGCTTCCCGTTCCCAAAACAATGGCAAACTACTACCAGAAATTGGCCATGGTCTTCTGGAAGGCCGGAAATTACTTATTCCACGCAGCTGCGTTGTTCAAACTGTTACAACTTTCCCGCGAAATGAAGAAAAACATGTCTGCGGAAGAGCAGCAAAGAATGGCAAACCGAGTTTTGTTAGCGACCTTATCAATCCCCTTACCCTCAGCCCACCCCGAATTCGATCGGTTCATAGAAACTGACAAAAGTCCCCTAGAAAAAGCCCAAAAACTAGCAATTCTTCTAGGACTCACCCAACCACCTACTCGCGCTTCCCTCCTGCGCGACATTGTTCGTATGAACGTCGTAAATTTAGCGTCCCCTAAGCTTCAAGACCTGTACTCTTGGTTAGAAGTAGATTTCCACCCACTAGAATTGTGCTCACGTGTCCATTCCGTGATCCAAACCCTCCAAGTTGATGAATCCAGCCCATTAGCACAGTACGTCCCAGCGCTACAAGATGTCACTTTAGTGCGTCTTATCCACCAAGTATCCCAAGTTTACCAAACAATCCAATTCGCGCGTCTGATTGAACTCGCCAAGTTCACATCAGACTTTCACCTAGAAAGACTATTGGTGGATTGCGTGCGTTACAATGACATGCAAATAAGAATTGACCACGGCAAACGTTGCATACACTTTGGCGTAGACTTGAGCGAGGCTCAGCGTGAAGACCATCCAGATGGTCCAGTTTTGCAAGCTATGCCTTCCGAGCAAATTCGCTGCCAATTGGTTAACATAGCTACCGTTCTTCATCGTGCTATCAATATTATATTCCCGACTAAGCGCAAACAAGAGCGAGAAAAAATACGCGCTTCTATGGTTGGGCTTTATCATGAGACTAAAAATAAAGAACATCAACGTGTTCTAGATCGTCAGCATATTATAGAACAGCGCAAAGAGTATATTGAGCGGGTTAATACACTGCGTGAAGAGGAAGAAATGCGCAGGCAGGAGGAATTGCATAGACAGCAACAAGTTGCTGAGCACAAACGCTTGGAGCAGGAACGCGAAGAACGCGAGCGTAAGCGCCAACAGAGTGAGATTCAGCAGATCAAAGATCGCCATTTGAAGGAAAAAATGCAGCAGATCTCACAGACTAGTCATGGTCAGAAAGTTCTTAAGAAATTGGACGAAGATGAGATCAAGAAGCTGGACGCTGAGCAAATTGCTGCTCGCGAAGCTGAAGAGCTTCAGAAGGAACGACGCGAGTTACAGCAAAAGTTGAAGTCGCAGGAGAAAAAGGTTGATTATCTTGAGCGTGCTAAGAGAATTGAGGAAATTCCGCTGCTGAAGAAAGCTGTGGAGGATAAGCAGGAGCTTGCTAAGCAGCAGTGGGAACAGCAGGAACAGGAACGGATTCTTGCTGCTATTGAGGAACGCAGCCAAGCTGTTGCGACTCGTGAGCGCATGTCTAGGATGAAAGAGGACGCTGATGCGTTCTTGGATAAGATTTTGGCTGAGCGCAAGAGCGCTTATTTGGAAAGATTGCAGGAGTTTGAGGTTAAGTTCAATGAGGAGCGTGCTAAGCGGCTTTTAGAGCGGAAAATCGCTAGGAAAGCTGAACGCAAGGCCAAGTGGGAGCAAGAGCGCGCTGAAGCCGCTGAACGGAAGCTTCAGGAGGAGCTGAGGATCAAGCAGGAGGAAGAGCGCAAGCGGATTGAAGAGGAACGCGCTGTTAAAGATGAAGAGGAGAGAATCAAGCGCGCTGCTGAAGCTGCTAAAGAAGCTGAGCGGCTGGCTAAATTGGCTAAGCAAGCGGAGATTATGCGCGCTAGGGAAGAGGAGGTTGAACGGAAGCTTGCTGAAGAACGGAGTAAGGTTACTGATTCTGACCCTTGGCGTCGTGGCGCTGGGGGCTATAAAGAACGCAGGGAAGAGTCACGGCCTTCGGCAGTTGAGCGCAATGACCGTGAAGCTAAGTCCGAGGTTTCTTGGAGAACCGAGCCTAGGGATGAGGTGAAGCCGCGCGATGATCGGGATGATGATCGTGGAAAGAAGAAGGTTGATCGTGTTGATGATCGCGAGAAGTGGGATCGGTTTTCTAAGGACAAGGACAGGGATTCTAAGGAGGTTAGGGAGGGAAGAGATAACAGAGACGCTCGCGGAAATAAGTTTGATAAACCCAGGGAAGGTATGGGTATGGGTGCTCCCAGTTGGAGACGTGGCGGAGCTGATGATAAGAGGGATGACAAATTTGAACGCGGACCAAAGCGCATGGATGTTGCTAGACCTCCGAGGGATCGCGATGATGACAGGCTGAGATACCAGAGGTCTTCTGGGTCTATTGACTGGCGCATCAGGAACACTGATGATTCTAAAGACATGCCGAAGCGTGATGAGTAAGTTTGACGTTTTTTTATTGTTCTATTATAGCTTGTATTGTTGAGAATATCATCTGTGGATAAAATACAATGTTATTTGTTAATTATTGATATTTTTTAAGGTATAAGCTCATTCTGATGGTATGCTCATCGAGAGCTTTTATTTGAGTATCCACATGCACTTTTGATATATTTTTCATATATACATATATATATAATATATATAAATATATTAAAAATTGATGTGGGTACTCAAATGAAAGGTCTCGATGAGTGCAATGTCGGGGTGAGCTTATATTTATAAAAATGTTAGTAGATAACAAGATACAAGGTCATTTCTTAATTATTGACATTTTTAAAGATATAAGCTCATCCTGATGTTGAGCTCATCGAGACCTTTCATTTGAGTACCCACATCAATTTTTTTCATATATTTGATATATATATATATATATTATATTTATGATATTTATGTCATATATATGAAATCTATAAAAAATTCATGTGGGTATTCAAATGAAAAGTCTCGATGAGTATTACGTCAGGATGAGCTTATATCGTTGAAAATATCATCAGTAGACAAAATACAATGCCTTTTCTCAATTATTGACATTTTTGAAGATATAAGCTCATCCTGATGTTATTCTCATCAAGACCTTTCATTTGAGTACCCACATCAATTTTTTTCATATATTTGATATATATGATATTTATCATATTTGTGAAATATATAAAATATATTAAAAATTCATGTGGGTACTCAAATGAAAGGTCTCAATGAGTATAACACCAGGATGAGCTTATATCGTTGAAAATATTATCAGTAGACAAAATACAATGTCTTTTCTTGAATTCTTGATATTTTTAAAGATATAAGGTCAACCTGATGTTATTCTCATCAAGACCTTTCATTTGAGTACCCACATGATTTTTTCATATATATTTTATATATATTATATTTATGATATTTATGTCATATATATGAAATATATAAAAAATTCATGTGGGTATTCAAATGAAAGGTTTCGATGAGTACACCGTAAGGATGAGCTTATATCATCAGTAAAAAAAAAAAAACAATGTTACTTTTCAATCATTGACATTTTTAAAAATACTCAAAGATTTTTAAACTTTTTTTTTTTCAATGAAGTTGATATACTAATGTAATTTTTTTTTTCTTACAGAAAAGATGAACGCGAACGCAAAGAAGATAAATACAAGCGTGAAGAAAAGAGCGACAACCAAGAAGACGAAGGATGGTCAAAAGTAGGCAGCAAACATTAAAAATGGATCGATTAAAAAATTATAATCTTTCGGATTGTCACTTTTGCAAAATGGTTTATTGCAAGCCTCATTTTTATTAGCAAAAAATTGAAAATTCAAAAAATAACAAATGAATTACGAGATGTAACTCTGATTTATTGATAATTAAAATTAAGATTTTTCACATTAATATTTTTTTTAAAGTGCTAATTAAACATATTTAAGTGGCTTCAATTTTCTCAGGTTTTTTAAAATTTGTACTATGAATATTTTCCATTTTGTCCTTTATAGTTTAATTTTTGCATATTAAGATTTTATTAACAGAGGGAACAAGAGAAGTTATTTTTTAATCATTGATTAAGAATTTTTTTGTGCTCACTTGGATTGTATTTTTTTTTTTTTTCTAATTCTTCAATTCAAAAAAGAAGATTTTTGATGAAGAAATAAGAGAAAATTGGAGCTCTTTATACGATTGTAATATTTTTTTTTTTTATTTGTTAGTAAATACTGATTATGATGATTAAATAAAAAGCTATTACGGAGAAATGTCTGTTCAATTTATTGAAAAAAAAAAATTTCAATATAAATTTTTTAATAATTACTTAAAACTTTTTTTTATTAAAAAAAAATATTTTGTAAAATTTTTAGCTTGTAAATTTTTTTTTGTCATTGATTTTAAAAAATCAATAAATTATCCGGTATTATAAACTTGTGCATAAAAAAATTGTTATTATAATTAAATTATTTAAAAAATTTCTATACAATTTAAAAAAAATATTACAAATTCTTAAATATTTTTCAATAATTTTTTTTTGCTTTTTTAATTTTAATGTCACAAAAAAAATTAATAATTCTTATCAACTTAACATTAAAAATTTTAATCAAACTTCATGTCAATATCTAAATTATTTCTTTTAATAATATCCAAAAAAACAATTATTTTTCTTAATTATTATTCAATAATTTTTTTCTAAATAATTAACAATTAAAAAAATTAAATTTTATCAAAGTTTAAAAAATTTTTTATTAATTAATTTCATATAATATTAAATATCAGTATAAAAATTAATTCAAATTAACTTGCTATTAAAAATAAATAACTTTTTTTAAAAAAACAATCCATTAAAATAAATAATTATTTCAATCAATTTAAAGTATTAATTCCTAATAAATTTCTCAGGTTAATTAATTAACAATTTATTTTTCAAAGCTCGATTATAAAAATCAATTTATTCAAATTTGAGTTTGCTTTTTTGAGTCTTAAAAAGCCTCAAAAAAATTTTTATTTCACAGTTCAAATTTTACAATTGATATAATTAATTTTAAATCCCGACAGAATAAAATTATCACCGAAACATTTACAATTAAAAAAATTTTTTATTCACAAATTTGTATTTAATTTTATCATCATTAACTCTCAATATAAAACTAACTATTATATTTTTGACAATAATATCCAAGTTTACTTAAAAGTACTAATATATATATATATATATATATATATATATATA